AGGGAGGAGTCAAACACATCATCAGTTATGAGTCCCTGCACCCACAAGAGACCTAAGCCCAGCCCACCTTGAATTCCTTCTCCTCTTATCTCCTGCTAATTTCCCTTGACTGTTAGTAGTTCAGATTCTTGTAGAGAACTTAAGTTTTATACTATTTGAACTGCCTGAATCTCCTGATTTTCCTGGCATTTGAAACCTAGGCAGTCACCACTATACCAGATGGGCTTTTTGCTAATAAGTTGTGGCTCTGTAGCCCCCATGTTTGTGGCAATGGCTCTGGGGATTCAGAGGAGTTCTGATCGGGGAGTTGCATGGCGCATTTCCCGTCCTCTTTAAAATAAATCAGATTATCCCCCATAGATTTCCCCCCAGTTTCATACCATTGCTAGTAAGCCCCAATAGCTGCAGAGGTGCTTAAAAGTTTGTGAACCCTTTTAAATTTCCCATATTCCTGTATAAGCATGTCCCGAAACGTGATCCGTTCTCCACACACAAATCCTAAAATGAGAGAAAGAATATCCCATTTAAAACGAGGCAGAAACTTGGCCATTGATTCTTGTTGTGGCCTGCCAGCGGCCTGCGCGGATCGTGGCTGATCCCGATGATGAGGAGGCTGGTGTGGGGTCGTGCCAGCAGCCGGCACAGCCGGCGCTCGCGTCGGACAGCAAGGAGGCTGAAGAAGATGTGGTGCCAGAGGCAGAGACTCAGCCAGGGCCTTCAGAACCTCCAGAGGCTCCTTCAAGTGGAGAGAGTGAAGTGGAGGAGCCTCTCAATGCTCGAGCCCGCAGGGCTGCCAAAAGGCAGGAGTGGCTACTTAGGAGGAGGAGGTCTCCTCGAGAGTAAGGTTTGAGGATAATTGGCCATTCCCTTAGCCTACTTATGTCACACACAGTTAGTAATTTCTTGCTGGAAACAACGTGTAATTATTACAGAGCATGTTGGAGAGTGAGTGTCTTATCGTATCTTGTTTTCTGGGCTGGTTGCCAACCTTTGCTGGACTTTGTTTATTTTTGGTACGTTATAACTTTGATCAGGACCGTTGGTGTGTGTCACAATCCTTGGGAATCCGGAGCTGGGGCAGAACAATTCTTTGAAGAAAAAGATCCAAAAGATTGTGAACTTTTGCTTTCGGTAATTGGTGTGCGCAGTTCAAAAGGATCCACAAACTTTAAATGCCGCTGTAGTTTTTTTGGGGGTGGGGAGAAAAGGTTCTTCGGCCAGCTGAAATGGAAGCGCTGTGCAGAATCTTTGAAAAGGGAGTTTACCCAGATAACCTTCATGGGAAAAAAAAGATGATTTGTGAAGGAGACAAGCATTTTGCTCAACAACTGCAATCCTGGCACTCCTGGTTACGGTCGTTAAGCCATCTCTCAGGTTGTTAAGCAGATGGGGCAAAAGAGCTGCTTGCTGAGTTCTACCCGGAAAGGAACTGCTGCAGAAACGGAGCTCCGCTCTTCGGCTTCTGAGCTCCGTCTCTCTATCTCCACCAGAGACGTCCATTTCCCCTCCATCCACAGAAGAAAACGGCTCAGGTGGGAAAGGAGCTTGGAGGAGTTGGTCTCCTCTCGATACGCAACCCAGCGCCCAGAGCCGAGAGGGAGTCTTACCTGTAATATATCAGCGTTTTCAGAACCTTTTGATTTTTGTTTGTTTGCATTTGTTTGTTTTTGAACATCAGTTGCCTGTTCTGAAAAAAACAAAACAAAATTGGGTTGGACTTGGTTGAAAGGCCACTAGTAAATCTCGGGGTTGCAGGCCAGACTAGAAAATTCAGAAATTACTCTGGAAGAAACCAGCGGCAACCACCCTTTTTACATTACAGGTAGTCCTCAAAGTACAACGACCGTTCGGCACCGAAAAAAGGGACTTGCACATATGACCGTTGCAGCATGCACCAAAAGTCATTGAAACAGAATTTGGGTGCAGGGCAGCCAGCAAGTACTTAGGATGGTTGCAGAATCCCAGATTCTTGTAATTGCCGTTGGTGACTTTTTCTTGTGGCATCTCAACCAGCAAAGTCAGTGGGTTCGCTTAACAGCTGCAGTGATTCACTTAAAACCAGGGGAAAAAAAAAAGATTGCAAAATCGGGTGCGACTCACTTAATAACCTCCATGCTTAGTCGTAGAAATTCTGGGCCCCATTGTTGTCGTAAATCGACTATGCATATTCCGAGCCTTGCTTGCCTGGCTAATAGAGGGGCATCAAACTAGGGGTGAAATCTAAAATTTGTTACTACCGGTTCTGTGGGCGTGGCTTGGTGGGGGGGGGGTAATGTGACTGGCTGGTCATGGCCAATTTTTTTTTTTTTTTTACTTTTAAAACCATTTTTTCTACAACCTCTTCGGCTCAAAGGTTGTAAAAAGATGTTTTCGAAAGGCTCTGAGGATCCCAGCTGAGTTCCCTGCCGATCAGGGAACTCAGCTTGGATCGTCAGAGCATTTAAAAGAAAAAAAGGGTTTTTTTCTTTTAAATGCCTTTGACGAGTCACGCGATCATCAGAGGCTTTTTTTTTTTTTTACTTTTAAAAGTATTTTTTCGGCTGTAGTTGTTAAAAAAAATCTTTTTAAAATAAAAAAAAAAAAAAAAGCCTCTGATGATTGTGCAGCTCAGCTGGGCATGGGGGGGGGGGGGGGGGGATTTTTGCTACCGGTTCGCCGAACCACCCGCCTCCATCACTACCGGATTGGGCGATCCGGTCCGAACTGGGAGCATTTCACCCCTACATCAAACTCGATTTCATTGAGGGCTGCATCAAGGTTGTGTTTGACCTCGGGGCGCCAGGTGGTGTGGCTGGGACGGGGTGCGCATGTGGAACCCCCGAGCTCCATTTTTGCTGGCAGAGGGCTGCAGGAGGCTGTCCCGGCTGAAAACAGAGCCTGGGAGGGCCACACACAGCCCTCCCAACAGGGGTGAAATTCACTTACCTTTGCTACCGGTTCGCAAATGTGAGCGCGCGCCTCCTCCGCGCATGTGCAGAGCCTTCTGCGCATGCACAGAGGGTCAAAAATGGGAGGTGATGAGGTCTGGGCGGGTGGGCGGAGCCTCCCGCCGCTGGCGCTACCGGTTTGCCCGAGCCGGATAGAACCGGCTGAATTTCACTCCTGCGCCCTAAACTCCGTTTTCGCTGGCAGAGGCACCGCAGGTTGGTCCTTCGCTGTTTCCAGGGCGGCCTTGCGGCCCACATCAAAGCACAACCCAGGCTAGATGCGGCCCGTGCGCCTTGAGTTTTGACACCCCTGGGCTGATAGAATATTCTGGCTTTGCCCACGATTGAGCATAAATGCCGAACCCAAAGAAACGCGCCTAATAAGACGAAGGAGCCGTTGTGGGGAATAACGGCATTTCCACTTAAGACATCTGAGAGCCATCACTGCAGAGGGCGGAAAGCATTTTTCTCCCTCACGCGCAGAGATCATTGTTCGTGCTTCTATTCTTTGAAATCCTGGCCAGGATTATTCAGATTGGGCTGGTTGACATATGCGATTTAATATCCGTTTAACAGCGTCTTTAGCATGAGCTATTGAATCCGCGGTAATTGGGTTATAATTCGCACCGGGCAGAGAGTGGGGGCCCTAAGCCCCAAGGAGACGGCAGCTGTGGCCAGGCCATAATATTTTAAGAAGGTGCTGGGCCCATCCGGAGGGTGGAGAGAGCTAAGCTTTTTTTTTTTTTGGTTATATTCTATTTTCTGGTTTGTGCAGCCAGCAACATTCTCTGCAAAAAAATAAATATTGCAACCCCCTGCTTTTTTGACTCTCGGTTGTCTCACATGGTTTTATATAAACTGAGTAATTTTCAGCACGTCGTCTTACATAAGAATAATAATAAAAAAAATCCCAGCTCCCTTTGCACCACTTATGTTGAATCTGCCCATCCTTCCGGAGAACCAGCTGTAAGGTAGTTCCTTTCTCTCCTTCGGCTGCTCGCAAAAGAGCCTGCAATTGCAGACACACGGAAATTAAACATTTCCCTTTGCATTAAACGCTTGAAAGGACCTGGATTTTAAAGCCACTAGAATCCTGTCTTTTAATTTTTCTTTTCTTTTCTTTTTCTTTTCTTTCTTTTTTCTTTTTTTGCTCTTGTCAGATTTTACCGTACAATGTTAATCCTTGGGCAAAATGTCATCTCAGATCATGGAAGTAAGGCGGCATTTAAAAAAAAAACAAAAAAAAATTAGTTCTTTCTCGTGTAGGCTGTTTTGTCTCTCTGCGCATTCGGGGCGCTTTTGGTCATGTTCAACTTTGGTCATGTTCAACAAAACAGTTCCATTTAACATAGCATTATGTGTGGTTCCGGGAATTCATCACCGAGCTATGAAAATCCGCTTGGCATCCTTGTAGGAAGTTAATGCAGGTAGTCCTCGATTTACAACATATCATTTAGTGACCATTCAAAGTTACAGCGGCACTGAAAACAAGGGACTCGTGACGGTTTTTCAAACTTACGACCGTTGTAGCATCTCTATGATCAAAATTCGGATACTTGGCAACTGTTTCATATTTATGACGGTGGCAGTGTCCCGGGGTCACGTGATCCCCTTTTGCGAGCTTCTGACGAGCAGAGTCAAGGGGGAAGCCAGATTCACTTAACAACCCTGTGACTAATGTAACTACTGCAGTTGTTCGCTTAACAACTGTGGCAAGAAAGCTCCTAAACTGAGGCAAAGCTCACTTAACAAATGTCTCACTTAACAACACAAATGTTGGGCTCAGTTGCAGTTGTAAGTTGAGGACTGCCTGTATAACCATACTCTGTTTCCCCCCAAATAAGACATCCCTGCATGGCAATAAGGCCAAGCGCTTATTTCAGGGTTCAAAAAAATGTAAGACAGGGTCTTATTTTCGGGGAAACATGGTATTCCTGTATATACCTGTATACCTTTATACCTACACCTGTACATATGCATGTCAGCCTCTTCTCGCAAACCGCTCTGCATCTGAATGGGGATGATAAGTCTGTCCCCTAACCTGCTTCCTCCCCCCCCCAACCTCTTTTCCAGGTTTCAAGTGCCCCGTTTGCTCCAAATCAGTGGCTTCCGATGAAATGGAAATGCACTTTATCATGTGTCTGAGCAAACCCCGTCTCTCCTACAATGGTGAGTTCTCCTTTGCGGCCTGCGGAGGAGCCCCGTTTGCCAGGCCTGGCAGTGGCTGCAGGGGGGGGCAAAGCTGGGGGGCAGCGAGAGCAGGTCTCCCCGCCTGGCCTTCCAGACGGTGTCCATAAAGCCACCAGGGCTGGTCCCGTTCCTCTCTCCATCAGCGTTCTCGCCATCTTATGCTCTGCCCTGTTCGCCTGGTGTCTCCCAACTTCTTTGTACGTGGCATGAGCCACAACCTGCCACGGTGGTTCAGAAAGGCCGAGCTGGGCATCGGGTGAGGCAGGGAGAGAAAAGGGGCACGACAGCCCAATTTCTGCCTCCGTGCGAAGAGCAAGGCCGACTTCCTTCATTTTTCAGAAGGCAGTTGTTTGAGTTGCTGCTTCTGCGCTGGGCGCCAACTTCTATTCTTGCCCTGCCAGCCCCCAGGGAAGATGACCTGCCCATTCGCGGCTCCTCTGTCCCCTGGCAGGCAGCAGGGAGGGGAGGGGAGGGGGCTGCCAGTCTTGTCTCAGCCTGATCCAAAGGACTCCGGAGAGGACTCTGCTGCCATCTAGGGAGGGGCCTGGGATGCAGCAGCCCAGTCGGGCAGAGTTGGGGGAGGGAATAGCTGTCGGTGAGCTGCTCCCCCTTGTGCCCGTCCTCCGTGTCCTTCTGCCTGGCACGGGGCAGCCAGAAGGCAGGGCCGGCTTCGTCCAGCGCTGCTGTCTCAGGCAGCTGGCCAGCTCCCAACACAGGGAGGAGCCCCTGCTTCCCAGGTGCAGGAAGGAGCCTGCCGGCTCCCAGGGAGGAGGGGCCCTGGTGGGCGGGCGAGGAGACATCTGCTCCAGTAACAGTGCCAGCCCGTGTCAGCCCTGCCGCGTGCCGTTGTTCTATCCAGCCAGGTCGAGACGGCAGGGATGGCGCCAGGCAGCCCCTCAGTGGGGCCAGGGGGAGGGCAGCAGCGTGGTTTGGGGATGCAGCCAGAGCGATCTGCCCAGCCTCCGCCGGAGGGCCGGTGCCAGCCGAGCCAGCTGCGATGCAGCAGAGCCTGTCTTCCTTGCCCTCAGGGAGGCTCTTTCCTTCTCCTTCTCTCCCTCCCCAGCTCTCAACATGCATCTGACATGCGCCTTACTTGAGGTTGTCTCAGGTCAAGCACTGGGGAGGAAGGGGAGGCAGGAGGGATCGGTGCTAGCAAACCCCCAGCACTTAACGGTAACAACCTCGCTATCCTCCCCCCTCTGTCCCCCCAATTGCTGTCACCTTTTGGGCTTATTTTTGGAGCTGTCGTGCCAAGGTGGGCTTCACAGCAGCTCCTTTGGGGAGACGGCAGGGAACAGGTGCTGCATCTGGTTTGCCCCAGATGCATGGGGATACCGCGCCCAGCGTTCCCAGTCCCCAAGGATTTGACATGTCCTTTTTTTCAAGCTTTGGGCATCCTTGGCAGGTGGGACGGCCGATTTGGGCCAAGAGGGTGTCTGGATCCCTCATTCCAACGGGGCAAGCTTTATTCCTGGGGGCCAGAGGAGTTCCTTCCCTTGGTTGCCAATTCAGACATTAGACTGAGCGGTGGACCAAGGAAGCACTTAGTCCTGGGTTGGGGGTCAAGTCTAAAGTGAGCCCATGATTTGCAATGGGAGAAATGTCAGATTATTTTCATTCTCCTGCATTCCTAACCTCCATCTATCCTGATGGGTTTATTTTCTAGAATCCAACTTGGATAGTTCTGGGTCTGTTTGTTTTTTAATGATCTTGATTTTGTAACTGGGATTAATTTTAACCAAACCTTGGACAACCTGATTACTCATGGAGACTCTGGCCGCTTACAAAAAAACCCCAACCCAGTATTGAAGCCAATACCCCCCCCACACACACACACACCTGGCAACAGCAATCAGACCAACCACTTGATGGGCTTGATACCACTCTGGGGCACCCAGGCCTCTTAGCAGAGCCTTCTTACAAACCAGGAAACTTCAATCCTGGATTGTCTTTTCATGTTAAACCCTGTTCTTACAAGCTTGGGATTGAAGCCCCGAGTTGAGAGAACATTGTAATAGGACAGGGACAGGGGTGAAATGTTCCCGGTTCGGACCAGATCGCCCGATCCAGTAGCGATGGAGGCGGGTGGTTCGGAGAACCGGTAGCAAAAATCCCTGCCCCCCCCACCACCACCATGCCCAGCTGAGCCGCACAATCATCAGAGGCTTTTTTTTTTTTTTACTTTTAAAAGCATTTTTTTCTACAACCTCTTCCGACGAAAAAGTGCTTTTAAAAGTTTTTTAAAAAAAGCCTCTGATGATCGCGCGGCTCAGCTGGGATGGTCAGAGGCTTTTCAAAGCATTTTTTTTCTGCAACACCTTGGCCGAAGAGGTGGGGAAAAAAAATGCTTTGAAAAGTCTCTGACAATCCCAGCTGAGTTGCCTGATCGCCAGAGAGGCTTTTCAAAGCATTAGAAAAAATGCTTTGAAAAGTTAAAAAAAAAAAGAAAAGTTGGCTACGCCCACCCAGTCACCTTACCCCGCCCCACCAAGCCACGCCCACAGAACCGGTAGTAACAAATTTTACATTTCACCCCTGGACAGGGATGTCAAACTCAATTTCATTGAGGGCCGCATCAGGGTTGTGGGTGACCTTGGGGGCCCGGGGTTGGCGTGGCTGGGGTGGGCATGGCCAACTTGACGTCACTCGTGTCAGGGGCGCCTGTGGTGGCCCGAGCGCTCTGCCAGCGAAAACAGGCTCCCTTGCTCAGTTTTCAGCTGCGGCGGCCTCCTGCAACCCTCTGCCAGCGAAAATGGAGTTGGTGGGGCCCCCGCAGCCCTCCTGGACCCCATTATTGGCCGTGACGGCCTCCTGCAGCTCTCTGCCAGTGCCCCCCCCCAGCTCCATTTTCTCTGGCAGAGGCACTGCGTGTCAGTCCTTTGCTGTTTCCAGGGTGGCCCCACAGGCCAGATCTAAGCACACACCCCCCGGGGCCAGATTCGTCCCCCGGGCCTTGAGTTTGACACCCGTGTTATAGGAGGATTCACACCATGTGGTGTTTCTCCCAAAGTGCCTTGGTGTCCCCTGGCCTGGTAGATCCCAAACGTCTCTCCTTCCTCACGCCTAGTCAACGGGGGTTGTATGAACGCAGCTGCCCTTTCTTGCCCCGGCTCTCACCCTGCCTTCTCTTTCTCTCCCGCAGACGACGTGCTAACCAAGGATTCCGGCGAATGTGTCATTTGCCTAGAGGAACTTCTGCAAGGAGACACGATAGCTCGGCTGCCCTGCCTCTGCATTTATCACAAGAGGTAGAGTACGAAGAGCCTTGGGCCCCCCGAAGAAGGGTCCCTGTTGGGCCTCCTGCTGCAGATGGGTTGGGAGGCTGGGAAAGGGCCCTGCTGATCTCCCAAGGCTTCTGTGAGCTGCTCCTCTCCAAGGGGGCCTTGCATGGGGGCTCTTGTCTTCTGCCCCAGCAGAAGCCCCTGCCGTGCAGGGAAGTGAGGGAATCCCTTTTCTCTTCTGCAGCTGTATAGATTCCTGGTTTGAAGTCAACAGATCCTGCCCAGAACACCCGTCAGATTGACTGTGGGATCCCACCCGGACCTCTTTCCAGGTAAGGCTCTGCCTCTTGGTCTTCAATGTGCCCATTGTAAAGAATCCCACTGTCAGCCCTGGAGGCCATCTTTTTCTTTGGATCTTCAGGGCTGCCACACCTGATGCTGTGGGAAACTGGGAGGGGGGGTTGTATGGAGTTGGAGAGATATCTAGCCAAAATAACATTCTTTTCTCTGAGAGTCAAGGACATCCTGCTCTGCACCTGGAGTGGTGTGACTGGGAGGCATCTCCAGTTGGGATGGTGCTGTGATTGGGCCATGTGATGGACATGTGGGTGCAGGGGAAAGGACATGGAGTTTCTTTTGGGTGGGGAAAACCTGGAAGTTTTCAGATTCGGGTTTTCCCAGATGTGCCAATATGACATCTCTAATGAAATGGAACTTTGAGGAACTGTTAGCCTTGGAGTCTCCTTTCGTTGGGGGTGTTACTTGGAATCAGGGGTGAAATCCAGCAGGTTCTAACAGGTTCTGGAGAACCGGTAGCAGAAATTTTGAGTAGTTTGGAGAACCGGCAAATACCACCTCTGGCTGGCCCCCGAGTGGGGTGGGAATGGAGATTTTGCAATATCCTTCTTTTGCCACTCCCACAGAACCAGTAAGGAAAAATTTTGGATTACACCTCTGCTTGGAACCCTGACACTCACTTCCTAAATAGAGTCTCTGCTAACTCCCAGTTTAACCTGGAAAAAAAATGCACTCTGGACTAAGATGGCCGATCCATTTATGGTCACACTGGCTGAGAATTTGGAAAGTCTCTGTCCCAGTCGAGATAGGAGGTGCCCACTGAGTTTGGGAAGATTTAGGGAATGGTATGTCGCTTTTAAGGGAGGCATTTGAAAGCAACCAAAATGTTTTGTGCAGGCAAAAATGGAAAGAAATGCCATCAGCCCACATAATAAAGGAATTGGTTATTAACAAATGAGAGGGGGAAAAACCATGCTCTTTTAAACAGTTCTGTGACTTGTGAGTAAGAATTACAAACAGGAAGTAAATTCTCAAAACTAATACTTGTTTTCATTTTTTCCTAAACAAAACTAAGTAAGTAAAGTCCTTGAGCCAGCCTTCGTTTGTTGGCAAAAGGACAGAACCGGGTTGCCATCGGAATCTTCCCAGATTATTTTTCAAATTCTTGGCACAACTCTAGATTTTTCTGGTGATTTCCCAACCAAGCTCAAATCAGTTTTGACTCGGCTTAGCTTTTGAGACCATTAGGGGCTGTCTTAACACCGCATGTGTAGCCAGAACCTCTGAACTAAACCTTGCCTGATTTCATGTTGGGTTCAAATGTTCTCATAAACCTTGAGACGTATTTCAATGAACCAAAATAGAAGGATTCTCCCTTGGGCCTAGTGATGTATTGTTTAATAAAAGTGTTTCCAAAACAGGATATTTTCCAGGTTGATTAATTTTGGTGTAAGATCGTTGTCATATCTGTTCTCATGACATGAGCCCATTTATTCTACGCAATCCCCACAGGATGTACACATTCTGGACTTATTTTTCTATAGTATAGGGTTGAATGAATCTTTGTACTTCTGTAAGGTCATTCTCCCCATCTCTCTTTTTCCTGCTGATTGAAATACCACCTTGCTTTTAATCTAAATGTACACAACATTTTGTGTGTCACAGGAGGGTAGGGAGTGGGAGAACGTTGTCTACTCAGCCCAAGAACTTGAGAAAGATCATAGGTTGAAGGCCACCTGTAAGAAGATTTATGGAAGATTTATGACTTAGGAAAGATCATAAGTCAAAGACTATCTATAGAAGATTTAGGGTTGTGTTTCTCAACCTCTCTTGAGGTTGAGGAGTTGGGTTAGAAGACTTCCAAGGTCCCTTCCACCTCTGTTATTCTGTTAACCTTGAGAATGTATGGGCTTCAACTCCCAGAATTGCCAATCCACCATACTGGCTGGGGAATTCTGGGAGTTGACGTCCATGCATCTTAAAAGTCATCCAGATAGGGAAACATGGATATGAGGAAACAATTGACTTTGTTGCTGGTGCATAACAGTTGGGACTCAAAATCCTTTTCATGTCAGGGATCGACCAAGATCTGCCTTTGGCCATCAGAAGATCCTTGCAGGGCCAGTTGGAAAGCTTAACTTACTCTAGTCAACATTCTGTTTGCATAGAAGCTAGTTAAGCGCCAATCGGAAACCTCTAATTCAGTGTTTCACAACCTTAGAAGCTTGAAGATGGGTGGACTTCAACTCCCAGAATCCCCCAGCCAGCAGCGCTGGCTGGGGGATTCTGGGAGTAGAAGTCCACCCATCTTCAAGCTTTCAAGGTTGAGAAACACTGCTCTAATTCATCCTTCCCTGGATCTTTTTGTAAAAGGCAAATTTCCCAGAGTGGAGAGGGGAGTCAAGAAACCCCAGCAAGAAGAAGAGATGTTTATGGTTAGCATAAACTCTTCTTTATTGTTTGTTAATTCACCAGTGGGACAGCTTGCCTTCTGAATTTAATTAATTTAATTTAATTAATTCAATTTATATGTCGCCCCTCTCCGAAGACTCAGAGACTTCTGAAGTTGTGGGTACTCCATTATTGCAGGGTTTTAAGAAGAGACTGGACAGACACTTGTCTGAAATGGTATGGGGGTCTCCTGTTTGAGCTGGGGGCTGGACTAGAAGATCTCCATGGTTCCTTCCAACACTGTTATTCTTTTATTCCTTGAAAGACATAGAAATGAAATACATTGGGGGGCTGTTCAGCACCAACGCTTCTTTTCTCTCTCTCTCTCAACAGGTCCTCTCACCATCCATCCTTCTTCCACACACACACTCCCAACTTCCTCCAAACCAGCTCTGGGACACCCCCACCCCGATGGCAGCCTGGGCATTTTAGTGTTCAGTTCTGGACTTCAGAGGCAGAGAAGACCCTCAACAAGCAACCGTCGCTCCGCAAGGCCATACTTGGGGAACCGTCCTCAAATCCGGGCCAGAAAGACGAAGAAGAGGGCCTGGGGCAGGAGCCAGTGGCCGCCGGGCCCCACCCCACAGCCACGCCATGATGTTTGTTTGGGCTAGAGCCAGCCACGAGCGAAACGGAGCACGACATGCGTCGGTGCCATTCAAGGACCCTTCCTTCCTGCCCACATGCGGGTCCCTTTTTGCACGGGGGTGGGGTGAGGAAAGTGGTAGTTTACCCTTCCCTTTTTATTTTCTTGGAACAACAATGCCATTTCCGCCCCCTCCCCTCCTGCCTCCCCCCCACCTCCCCAGTCCTGAGGAGGAGGAGGAGGAGAATCAGATGTTTTCTGTGGCATTTTTCTGAAGGCGTTGTAAGTTTGTCTTTTCAACTGTTTACAAAACAGCCACGTGGTGTCAACCAGTGAGCCAGGTGATGTTTATAAGGCTGCATCCTCAGGCAGGTGGGGAGCAGAACTTCCAAGACCTTTTTCTTCGCCCCTCCATCAATACCCCCTCCCCATTGCCAAAAGTCCTTTTAATCTTTCGTCGTCCTCCTCCTCTTCCTCTTCCACCCCCCTCTCGACCTCCGTGCTGGCCCCAGAGGCTGCCGTCCTTTGCAACAACGTCAAGAACGGTTTTCAGCCCTTTTGTGGATCGCAGGACTGGCCTTTTTCTTAAAGCAACACACACACACAGAGGATACGACACACACAAACTCACACCCCCCCTCCTGCCCTGCCAGTCCACAAATGAGCACGAAGCAAAGCCTGGCTGAGCCGCAGGATTGGGGGAATGCGGTGGGGGAAACCTCTGATGGACGGTTTTGATCCGCAGGAAAAGTTATCTGTATTTATATAGGAAAAAAAAATGAAAAAAAAGAAAACAAACTTTAAAAATGACAAAAAAGAGAAAAAAAAATCAAAGCTTGGGAAGGGAAACTTCCCCTATTAGTCAAGTGTTTTGATATGGTATTCAATAATGCTCAATAAAATAGTCACTGTTATTTTATTTCCAGGTATTCTTATTTGTCTGATGGATTTGGGATGTGAAGGGATACCTTGAGCATTTGGTGGGTTTCACCACACCTCTTTTTAAACTCAGACATGTGAGTCCCTTGAAGTGGGCATGTATTGGGGTGTAGCAATGTTTGGGAGCGATGCTCTGGTTAAGCCACAATCTGAAAACATGGTGTGTTTTTTTAAAAAAGAAAATTATCTATAATGAAATTGCGGCAGGATTTAAATGACTAGAGATTACCATTTTAAAAAATATAAATAAAGTCTCCATGGCCAGCTGGAGAGATGCATAAAGGCTGCAATTATACCAACTCCAGTTTGTTCAGAAAAAGAATTAACACCGTACCATAAAAAAAAACTCTGAAGTTATACCCAGCCTAATTTCTGGCTAACCACATTACCTATTCCTACAGAAACAGCCATTTTGGAAGCAAAAATTCCTCAGTTTGCCTCATCTGGAATTTCCCAAATTCTTGGAAATTCCAAATTTGACCCATAAATGCCAGGAACCATCGGAGTCCCGTTCTCCCTGGCCTCAATTCACAGTTTTTCTCAAGTTCTGCCTCTTGATTTAAAAGGACCAAACTTTTTCAGCCATCAGTACAGGGAGGGCTTGGCGTATGTGACAAGGAGCATCTCTCCTTCATCGGGATGTATATTCTGAATTTGGATGGCCTCCTGCAAATATTGTGAATGTCAGCTGAGTGGATTACATTGCCAACAGGTTGAAATTCTGCAAGATCGTGTTTCCTTAACATAGGAAGAAACTTCAATAACCTGCACCATGCTGGCAATTCTCCCCGATAACCAAAAATGAAAAGGAGCTTCAAACTCTGGTAATAAAAAGAGCAGTGTGGGGGGGAAAAATGGGACCAAAATTAAATATAAAGACCGATGACAACAGGTGTAACAACCAGAATAAGACTTCTGGTTATAGTAAGAATATATTATTATAATAAGAATAATAAATATACAAATTTATTTTACAATCTTTCTTACCACGGTTGTAAAGTGAATCGTTGTTAAGTTAGTAACCTGGTTGTTAAGTGAATGTGATTTCCCCATTGCTTGTCCAAAGGTTGCAAAAGGTGATCACAGGATCTTGGGACACAGCAACGGTCATAAGTATGAACCAATTGCCAAGCATCTGAATTTTAATCATATGTTCATGGGGATGCTACCGAGGTTGTAACTGTGAAAAATGGTTGTAAGTCACTTTTTTCAGTGCCGTTGTAACTTTGGTCACTAGCAGTCAGCAGAAGTAGCCTACAGTACTGCACTCTAACCAGTGGTGAAATATAAATTTTGTTACTACCGGTTCTGTGGGTGTGGCTTGGTGGGGGTGGTATGACTGAGTGGGCGTGGCCAACTTTTTTTGTTTTTTGTTTACTTTTAAACCTATTTTTTTCAAAAAATGCTTTTAAAGCCTCTGACGATCCCAGCTGACTTGCCTGATCGGCAGAGGCTTTTTTTTCCTTTTAAAAACATTTTTACTATAACCTCTTCAGCTGAAGAGGTTGTAGAAAAAATGCTTTTAAAATTTTTAGAAAAGCCTCTGATGATTGCGCGGCTCAGCTGGGCAATGGGGGGGGCAGGGTTTTTTGGTTACTGGTTCTCTGAACCACCCGCCTCCATCGCTACCGGATCGGGTGATCCAGTCCGAACCGGGAGTATTTCACCCCTGACTCTAACCACTGCGCCACCATGGCTCTAACTATATTTTTATCTCCATTGCTTTGAGTTCTTCAAAATTCTTATTTAATTATTTTTATTATAATTACATATCTATCTTTGTAATTAAAATAATAATAATGTAAGGATTTCAAAGTGATGGAGAACTTCTGCCCTTTTGAATCAAGCATCCACTGCAAAGGAACAAGCAGTCAAGAAATAGGCCACAGGTTAGCACTTGATAGAGCAACCACAAAGGCCTTGGAGAAAATCCTCAGCTGTTGTGATGCGTCCATATCAGAGATGGGTTCTACTTACCTTTATCACTGGTTCGCAATGGGATCACACGCTCCTTGCTTCTCTGCATGCGCAGATCGCTGATGACATCCGGGGCGGTGGGCGGGGCCTCCCGCCACTTTTACTACCAGTTTCTGTGAACCTGTCCGAACCGGGAGCAACCCACCACTGGTCCATACCTACAAAAATCTGAATCCTGCAAGCCACCATATTCCCTGTGGCAGTTTGTGGAAGTGACACTTGGACTTTGAAGAAGCAGGATAGAGGAAGAAAGAGTACTGATGCGTTTGGAGGCTGGAGAACGACTCCCGAGAATACCATGGACAGCCAAGAAAGCTAAAGTGATAAGACTATCAAACAAGCCAGGGGTCGTATTCCCTTTCCTTCACTACCGGTTCGCAAATGTGAGCGCTCAGGGCCTTCCGCACATGCGAAGAGCATCAAAAACGGGACGTGATGACATCCGGGCGGGTGGGAGCCTCCCACAGCTGCTGCTACCAGTTCGTGTGAACCGGATAGAACCGGCTGAATACCATCACTGAAACAAACCCAGACTTCTCAAGGAAAGGACCACCGGAACAAGGTGGATCAACTTAGTTACTGCAGCAATGGGTACAGTGTGTAGCTCTAGTCTAGGGTGGCCTGTTCAATGCCATGGCCTGAACAGAAGAATTGCATTAAAAGATGAAGGGGACCATTAAGGAATAACCAGGTTATTGAAAAGAGATCGGACAACCATCTGCCTGAAATGATAGGTTTCCTGCTAGAGCAAGGGGTTGGACTAGAAGACCTCTAAGGTCCCTTCTGACTCATTCTGTTCATATTAGATGATCTGGCTGGAGGATCCGACCTCCCTTATACTACTTGGAGGATCCTGAATACCGTGTTTCCCCGAAAATAAGACCCTGTCTTATATTTTTTTGAATCCCGAAATAAGTGCTTGGCCTTATTTTCAGGGAGGTCTTATTATTTTGGGGTGCATGGAGCAAGACGGGGCTCCTCTTGCCATCTTACCTGATTTCCAGCCCTAACCCTAACCAGAGGAAATGGCAGGGACTGGCTGTGCATGCATTTAAGTATTTTCAGGGAGGGCTTATTTTCGGGGAGGGCTTATTTCAGTGCATGCACTCAAAAGCCCAATTAGGCTTATTATCCAGGGAGATCTTATTTTAGGGAAAACAGGGTAGGTTAAGAGTTGCAATGCTTAAGGGTAAAACCCACGGGCTCAAGTGCAGGCACTTAGCAGATAACAACACGCCGTGTGAATGCAGAGATGCAGAGCTTGGCCCATCTACTGGTATGTCAGCTACTATTTATCTAGACCCGTACCAGTCGGGCTTTAGGCAGGGGTACAGCACAGAAACGGCATTGGTCGCGTTGGTGGACTGGAGGGCTCGGGATAGGGGTTGCTCCTCTGTCCTGGTCCTGTTAGATCTCTCAGCGGCTTTTAATACCATCGACCATGGTATCATGCTGCAGCAATTGAGGGGGTTAGGAATAGGGGGCACCATTCTGCGGTGGTTCTCCTCCTTCCTCTCCGACCGCTCGCAGTTCGTGTTGGCAGGGGGACAGAGGTCGACCTCGAGGCGTCTCGCATGAGGAGTGCCGTAAGGGTCGGTCCTCTCGCCCCTCCTGTTCAACATTTATGTGAAGCTGCTGGGTGAGATCATCCGTGGTTTTGGGGTGAAGTGTCATCTGTACGCGGATGATACTCAGCTGTACATCTCCACCCCAGACCACCCCAACGATGCCCTTGATGTGATGTCCCGCTGCCTGGAGGCCATGCGGGCCTGGATGGGGAGGAACAGGCTCAGACTCAACCCCTCCAAGACCGAGTGGCTGTGGCTTCCGGCGCCCCGATATAGTCAGCAGGTGCCATCGCTGACTATTGGGGGTGAATCTTTGCCCCCCATGGAGAGGGCTCGCAATCTGGGTGTCCTCCTGGGCCCACGGCTGTCTTTAGAAGAGCATATGACGGCCGTGGCCAGGGGGGCCTTTTATCAGGTTCGCCAGTTGCAGCCCTTTCTGGACCGGGACACCCTGCGCACGGTCACTCATGCCCTTGTTACCTCCCGGTTGGACTATTGTAATGCTCTCTACATGGGGCTCCCCTTGAAGAGCACTCGGAGGCTCCAGCTGGTCCAGAATGCGGCCGCGCGGGTGGTTATGGGCACACCTCGTTGTGCCCATGTGACACCCCTCCTGCGCGAGCTGCACTGGCTCCCAGTGGTCTTCCAGGTGTGATTCAAGGTGCTGGTTACCACCTTCAAAGCGCTCCATGGCATAGGACATGGGTACCTTCGAGACCGTCTTCTGCCACCAGTAGCCTCCCACCGACCAGTTCGCTCCCACAGAGAGGGTCTCCTCAGGGTGCCATCGGCCAAGTTATGTCGGCTGGCGACACCCAGGGGGAGGGCCTTCTCTGTGGGAGCCCCTGCCCTTTGGAATGAACTCCCCCCCAGAAATTCGTAAAATCTCTGATCTCCGTGTGTTTCGCTGTGCCCTCAAAACCATGTTGTTCCGCCAGGCTGGGCTATCAACATAATAGTTTTAAACTGGGGTATTTAAATTTCTGGGGTTTTAAATTGAGCCAAATCTATTTAATTATTTTAAATTGTAATCACTGTTTTGTCTTGTGTTTTTAAATAGGCTGTACACCGCCCTGAGTCCTTCGGGAGAAGGGCGGTATAGAAATAAATATTATTATTATTATTATTATTATTATTATTATTATTATTATTATTACTACTACTACTACTACTACTACTACTACTACTACTACTACTACCAGAAAAGAGTGGCTTCCTTCTGGCAGTTTAAAGTCTGATCTAGACAGGGAAGAAGCAGCAGGACCAGCAAAGTTCTGTATGTTCCCTGATGGATGAATCCTGCATTAATCCAGTAGGAAAAACCTGGATTCGTCCTGCTTCAATTCACTGCAGCTTTGACAAAAGCAAAATAAAATAAAGATCCCAGGAGATGAAGAGGTGGATCCAAGTAAACCGAAAAGCTGGGAAAAACATGGAATTTTGCTCCCAGGCTTATCCAATAAACACTCGGCCTGTCACTGCCAACTGTGCATAAGCCAGCTTTGCCCTTAAGGCAATGTTAGCAAAGAAGGAAATAAAAGAGATTAGAGGTTCTTCGAACGAATGTTTTGCAACCTCCAGTTTCAGTGAAATACATTAAATCACCGCTGAAGCATCTGGGGAAAGGTCTGTGTGTGATGACGACAAAGATAGCGTTGCTTTTTGTATGGGTGTTGTTGTGACATCTTGCAGTTATCCCAAATTAGTGGAATTTGTGTTGTATTGCCACAATGGATTGGATCCAACAGATGCCCCTGGAACCATTTCCAAACTTTGGAGACTCCCAATGTGTGGACTGCAATTCCCAGAATTCTCGATAACAAGCATGCTGGCTGAGGAATTCTGGGAACTGAAACCCCCAGGTTGGAAAATGTGGCATAAACTTACTTCCTGCGACAGGCCAGCCTGGTTCAAAAGCTCGAATTACACCTGAGCATTTCCATATTATGTGAATAAACACACATAGCTGCAGCTCTCGCCACACAAACACACAGTATTAATTTTAATATAGATTTGTAAGACAAATTCGGACAATTGCCAAGTTCCATATGCTTACTGTTCCTATCAGGGGCATGGCTGCCAATGCTACCTCACCCTTTTCAAGTGGGTAAAAATCCAAAGGAAGCTGACAGGTGGCTGTAGTATTTAAGATGCATGAACTTCAACTCCCAGAATTCCCCAGCTAGCACAGTTGCAGCTAGACTTTTGGTGGCGCAATATTGGAAGAAGGAAGATTTGCCTAACTATTTTTTTTTTATTAAAAAGTTTTACAAAAGGTTTACATATTCCCCCCTTTCCCTACCACCCCCACCCCCTACTATTGAAGAATGGACATTAAAAGTAGCGAATCAGGCAGAAATGGCGAAGATTTCAGCATATTTGAAAGATCACTCACAAGAAAGATATATATCGGAATGGAGAAGATGGACTGATTATATTCAAAACAAATATCAGACTAAAAAGTATCAAATAGCTTATGAATGAATAGAAAAATTAAGAGTATTTATATTTAGTTAAGTAAAAGGGGAGTTAAAGTGTGAAGTGGGGATAGGAATCCTTAGTTTATTAGCTTAGTTTAGCATATGATTGTTAATTGTTATACCCTGTATTTTGTTCTGGGAAGTTTGGGAGGGGGGTGGGGCGTAAGGAAGGGCGGGGGGGTGGGGATGGGGAAATACTTGTAAAAAATTCTTTGTTTTTTTTTCTTTTTGTGAAACTTTTGTAAAAAATTTTGGGAGTTGAAGTCCACTCATCTTAAAGCAGTGTTTCCCAAACTTGACCCTTTGAAGATGTATGGACTTCAACTCCCAGAATTCCTCAACCAGGCATACTAGTTGGGGAATTCTGGGAATTGAAGTCCATGAATCTTAAAAGAATGTCAGCTGAAGAATTTGGGGAGTTGAAGTCCACAGATCCTAAAAGAATGCCAGCTGGGGAATTCTGGGACCTGAAGTCCATGCACCTTAAAGTTGCCAAGGTTGGGAAACACAGATTTAGAGAGTTTTCAGGTTTTGCTAAGCCACTTTCTTGGCTTTGAGTTATCATGTCCTGTGAATCCAGCCAACCGTTGTTTATTCAGCAGACTAGAATTAAACATAGTTTAGTATGAGGTGTTCGTTGTAGGCACCTCTGGAGAACAACCACAACACCTGACTTTGGTTAATTGTTGTATTTCTGACTCTGCTGGAAAGAGGAGATAAAAGCGAAGACGCCTCACTCCGGACTTCTCCGGCAAGGAAAGCAGATTCAGGAGCGTCTCCCAGCCAAGGCTTCCTGTGGTTAGAGCACCTTTCCAGGGTTCATGAGGTTTTTGGGATCCAAGGCCATCTTGATCTGCCGCATGGTGGAGAGGGCCACTTCTCCTACTTCCTCGCGCAAAAGCTGACGTTTGCCCAGGCCGATGCCATGCTCCCCCGTGCAGGTGCCACCCACTGCCAAGGCTCTCCTGGAGAAAAGGGGCAAAAGAGGTCAAAATACGCACCCCAAATATCACTTCCAAGGTTAAGACAAGTAAAGGAACTAGGCATTTTTTCCTCTCTCTCTCTTTCTCTCTCTCTCTCTCATATCTCTCTCTCTCTTTCCATCTATCTATCTATCATCTATCTATCTATCTATCTATCTATCTATCTATCTATCTATCTATCTATCATTAACAGAGTTGGAAGGGACCTTGTAGGTCATCTAGTCCAACCCCCTGCTCAAGCAGGAGACCCTACACCATTTCTGATAAATGGCAGTTCAGTCTCCTTGAAAGCTTCCAGTGATGAAGTTCCTACAACTTCCCGAAGCAAATTCGGTTCCACCTATTAATTATCTTCACTGTCAGGAAATTCCTCCTTATTTCTAGGTTGAATCTCCCCTTGATCAGTTTCCATCTATTATTCCTTGTCTGGCCTTTGGGTGATCATCCATCCATCTCTCCCTCCCTCCCTCCCTCCCTCCCTCCCTCCCTCATCCCTCTCTATCATCTCTCTCTCTCTCAGATCTATCCATCCACCCGTCATCTAATTTCTCTTCCTGCCCTCCCTTTCTTTCTCCCTTTTTGTTTCCTGCCTTCCCTTCCCGTTTTTTCTCTTTTTCTTTCTTTTTCTTTCCCTCCCTCCCTCTCTCCCTCCCTCTCTTCTTGAATTTATCCCTTCCCTTAGGAGCCTATTCTTCATCATCCGGAAAACACTTTATCCCTAAAATCTTCAGCCCAGGAATAAAGGATTATCCAAAGGGACTTGGAGAAAAGACGTGCAAGCTGCTAAAGACCCTTGTAGGGAAGACGACTCGGCCTCAAGACAAAGGCGAGAGTGGGAAAGAAACTCAGAAGGGCCCACCTTAACTTTGTTGGCCTAAGAGGGGAACCGGGAGCACCTTTGAAAACGGACACACTACCCCAGAGGTCTTCAAACTTGGCAGCTTTAAGACTTGTGGACTTCAACTCCCTGGCTGGAGCTCAGCTGGCTGGAGAATTCTGGGGGTTGAAGTCCACAAGTCTTAAAGCTGCCAAGTTTGAAGACCTCTGCACTACCCCTTCCAGGTAGGCTAGGTCTACCTAGCCCCTGAGTCTTCGGAGAGGGGCAGCATATAAATTTAATTAATTTGATTAATTAATTAAATTAAATAGTAGGAATTCCAGTAATGTTCCTTTATTATAACAAGGTAGAATAACAGAACCTTGAAAAGCTTGACAAGGTTTCTTTCTCACCATCTTCTATTAAATCAAAATCAAGGTGGATTATTTTGAGTCTCCCACTCTTCTCTCTTTTTCCAGACTGGAGAATCAAAGCCCCCTCCCAATATATTTTTTTTCTAAATTCCTTGTCACTTGTGCCTTCCCCCAACATGGACCAGAGGGGGATGTCCCTGGCTACAAGGCTTTTAAACCCCACCTTTTCTGTTGTCCAACCTGTGTGGGCAAGGGGCTCTTTCGTCCACCCCACAAAAGGCTTCTCCCACCCACCCACCCCCAGCCCCCCAGCCTACCTGCCCAGGCGTTTGGCAAACTCAGCCGCCCTCTCCTTTTCTTCCACGTCTTCAGGATCAAGAACCAGCAGGCAGTGGAAGTTGCCATCCCCAACGTGGCCAACAAGAGGACCTGGAGATGTAAAAGGGATAGCACCCCTCGTTTCAACCTTCCTTAAACATGTTCTTTGGGATTGCAGCGCCCATTGTTTTGCGAATCAAGGAGGACACCCTTTTCATCTGGAAGACACCCAACGTTGTGGTCGGCCAGCAGCTGCGGAGTTGGCAGCGGAGTCGGACAGCGAGGAGGCTGAGGAAGAACATGGCCAGTCCTGGAGGCTGGGGAAGGCCTGGATGAGGGCTCTGCATCAGAGGCAGAGATGGGGCCAGAGCCATCGGGGAGCGATGTGCGGACTCTGGAGCCTCCAGAGGCTGACAGTAGAGAGGCAGAGGAACAGGAGGAGCCTGTTCCTAGTGCATGTATGAGAAGAGCTGCCAGAAGGCAGGAGCAGCTAAAGCAGCTAAAGCAGAGATGGTGACTCAGGAGTAGGGCCAAGAGATGATTGGCCCCTCCCATAAGGCTTAAAAGGCTCGGTGCCTTCCGCCATGCCCTTAAAACCTTCTTTTTTCAGCAAGCCGGGCTGTCTTAACTTTTTTAAATGTTTTAAATTGGTTTGTTATTGTTTTTAAATTACAGGGCCAAATTTATATATATTCTTTTAATACTATTTTAATGTTTGTAATTTATGTTTTTATTCGGCTGTACACCGCCCTGAGTCTCAGGGAGAAGGGCGGTATATAAATTGGATATAAAATAAAATAAAAATAAATAAAATAAAAGACCAGCAACGGCTCTTGGCCTCTTTGCCGGAAAACAACCGTTGAGAGATTTGCTTCTTCTTTGGCTGTAGTTATTTCTTCAGTTCCTGAACCGTTGCCAAAAAAAGACTTTGGCAGTTTGGCTAATTATCCCAAGGTCAGAGATAAACTAAAGATTGGTGTTTTAAGGATTTTGCTTTCATTTCATTTAGAATACACTGAGAATGACTTAATTCTCAGCTTTTTTAATAAAATCTGTTTGTTTTTTGGAACTGTTTTGCATTTAATATCAACTACATGGGCCTGAGTCACAACACCCAACCACTCCTTATACCGTACCAGAACTGGCCAGTTAATATACGATTTTGGGTAGTCCTCAAGTTATGGCCCTAACGAAGCATGGTCTTAAGTTGTAAAAGCCATAAAACATGATTTTGCCAGGTGGGTTTTTTTGTGTGTGTGGCCGTCATAAGCGCGAATGCCGCCATCATTAAGCCAAACCCCTGGTGCAATTTTGCCGAAAATCTGAAAAATGTTCCTATGACTGTGGGAGGATAATTTTCTGGCCACAGTGAGACTCGACAAGTCCACCTTCCAACTGAAACTCTCACTGGCCAGGATGGGGTAGTTTCTGCTTCAGTGTCGTGTGATCCCAGCTAAGGTTTAGCCGTAATACCGTTTTACTTGTTTGCAGAAAACCTGTTAATGTGCAACCGACTTTTCTTTGACCTGTCTTCAGAGCTCAGTATGTTGTGCAAACCCAGCTTCTGTTAATTATTTCTTTAAATGACACCAATTGAGAAAGACTTCTATGCAGCCGAGATTAATATGTTTGTTTTGAACTTGCCTTCATTCTCCCATGTCCTGGGCTGGACCACCAAACAGCCTCGTGACTAAAGTGTCCAACCCACATTCAGCTCACCTGTAAGGTTGGAGTCCAGCAAATCTTTCTTGGTTTCTAGCAGGACCTCAGGGAGGCGTGAGAGGGGGACACACACGTCTGTGGAGTAGCCCTGTGGGAAGTTGAGGAAGGGTAAAAGGTTGCATTAGAGCGGGGTTTCTCCACCTCAGTCATTTGAAGATGTATGGACTTCCAACCCCCAGAATTCCTGGGAGCTGGGCTGGCTGGGGAATTCTGGGAGTTGAAGTCTAAACATCTTCAAGTGGCTGAGATCATAATAATAACAACAGATTAATAACAGATTAACAGAGTTGGAAGGGACCTTGTAGGTCATCTAGTCCAACCCCCGCCCAAGCAGGAGACCCTACACCATTTCTGACAGATGGGAGTCCAGTCTCTTCTTGAAAGCCTCCAGGGATGAAGCTCCCACAACTTCCGAAGGCAACTTCTGTTCCATGGGTTGATTGTTCTCACTGTCAGGAAATTTCTCCTTCTTTCCAGGTTGAATCTCTCCTTGATGAGTTTCCATCCATTATTCCTTGTCTGGCCTTTGGGTGCTTTGGAAAACAGGTTGACCCCCTTCCTCCTCTCTGTGGCAGCCCCTCAAATATTGGAACATTGCTATCCTCTGGTCTCCCCTGGTCCTTCTCTTCACTGGACTAGCCATGCCCTGCAACCGTACATCGTATGTTTTAGCCTCCAATCCCCTAATCATCCTGGTTGCTCTCCTCTGCATTTTTTAAAGAGTCTTAACATCTTTTTTATAGTGTGGTGACCAAAACTGGATGCAGTACTGTAGGTGTGATCTTACTAAGGCTTTGTAGAGTGGTATTAGTACCTCCCTTGATCTTGATTGTATTCCTCTCTGAATGCAGATTAGGATTGCATTGGCTTTTTTGGCTGCCGCTGCACACTGCTGGCTCCTATTTAGCTGGTTGTCCACTAAGACTCCAAGATCCCTGTCACCCAGTCTGCATGTCTACTTTTGGTTTTTCTTCCCTAAGTGTAAGGTTCAGAAACACTGCTATAGACTCACATCATCAACCAGTTTTGAAACTCAGAACTGGGATCAGGGAAAGTGCAAGGCAATGAGATCACTCTAGATCACTCAGAAAAGTGAGCCAAACTGCAAAATAGGAGACTGTTCTTCCAAGATAACCTGGCTGCCCTCCAGCTCACCTTTTTGCCGGGACGAAGAGCCAAAGCTGCATACCAAGCATTGTGTCGAGCTGCCCAGAGCTGCCCACGGGCCTCCGGTTCCCGGGCCCACGCAAAATCCGAGCCCCCGTTGGACTGCAGAATCGCCTCTGCAAAGGGAGACTTGCATTACATCCCACTTCTGCCACCAAGGCAATCTGGTCCTTTTGATCTAGTTTATAGGATGATTCCACCGTGATCGACTGAATCATACAGGTAGTCCTCGATTTACAACCATTTCGTTTAGTGACCACCCAAAGTTACAACGGCACTGAAAAAAGTGGCTTGTGACCTTTATGACTGTTATGACCACTGCAGCATGGTCACATGATCAAAATTTGGACGCTAGGCAAATGGCATAGGGTCTCCGGCTTGAGCAGGGGGTTGGACTAGAAGACCTTCAAAGTCCCTTCCAGCTCTGTTCTGAATGATGGATTGAATCACTGCAGTTGTTAAATTAGTAACTTGATTATTAAATGAATCTGACTTCCCACTTTGACTCTGCTTGTCAGAAGGTCATAGGAGGTGGCTTTTATGACTCATATTTACAATGGTTATGACCGTGATGGCGAACCTATGGCACGGGTGCTACAGGTGGCACGCGGAGCCATGTTGCCTGGCACGCCAGCTCAGCTCTGGCGTGCATGTGCGCACCGGCCAACTGATTTTCGGGCCTTCTGGGTCCACCAGAAGTAGGGAAACAGGCTGTTTCCTGCGTCCGGAGGGCCTGCGGGAGGGGTGTGGAAGGCCCATTTTTCTTTCTCATTCCAGATCCTCCAGATCCTCTCTATGCATCTGGGGAGGGTGAAAACAGCCTTCCCCACCCCTTCGGAGGCCCGAAACAGCCCGTTTTCCAACTCCCCAGATGCATAGAGAGGATCTGGAGCCAGGTGAGAAAGAAAAACGGGCCTACTGGGCTATCGCATGCCAGGAGTGGGGGGGAGGGGGGTCACATGCGCATGCGCGGGGCACAGAGAATTATGGGTGTGGGCATGCGCACGCACAAACCTTCCCTGCCCCCCACCCCTTCCTGACACACGATGGCAAAAAGGTTAGCCATCACTGGGTTATGACATACACAGGATCATATGATCTTTATCATTACCACCTTCTCACAACCAAAGTCAGGCCGGAAGTGAGATTCACTTAATAATCAAGGTACTAATTTAACAACTGCAGCGATTCTGTTAGAAACTGGATCTAGCCCAATAACTCAAAGACATAGCCCAATTCTTTTCAGTAGTTTTATTGTTGATCAGTTGGTACTGGAGGTCACTGACCTTGTACCTTTCTCTTTCAGGTATACATCTGGAATGGCCTGTGGACCATGCGGTTGGACCTTTTGTACCCAGGAGGAGGGGTCAAGAGGTAAGGAGTGGTTATAAGGATTATGGGATATGTGGTTAGTTAACCCTTGAGGGTCCGGGGGATCAGGGAGACATGGCAGTTAGGCATTTTATCATGACAAAACCCCCTCTAAATGCCTAACTGGGTACCTGAGGCGGTGTTAGCATACATACAGAGAATACACTGGTACAGGCATGAATTATAAGCAAACACGCATTTTTGACATGAGGTAAGCATGTTGTTTATGTGGTAGGGGTTTAGTGAGAATATCTGCTGTTTGCTCCTCTGTGTCACAGTGCACTGCCCTAATGAAGCCTATCTCTGAAAACTGCCTGACGTGTTTGTATTTAATGTCAATGTGCCTAGAACGCTGACCTATGGTATCGGCCCTAGAGATTTCTATCGCTGCCTTGTTGTCTTCGTGGATAACTATTGGATATGAGGGTTCAGCCCAGATGTCGCAGAGCAGGTCATCGAACCATACTAAATTGTTTGCGGCCTTTGATAGGCAAACAAATTCTGCTTCCGTGGTTGATGTGGCCACCAGTTTTTGCTTTCCAGTGTACCAGTGGATGGGGCAATTGTTGAGTAGTAGCACGTAGCCTGAGGTGCTTTTTCTGCACTCTATGTCCCCAGCCCAGTCGGCGTCAGCGTAGCAGGTCAGCTTTGGTTCCTTGGATGTTTCTGGTTCTAGGCAGAGTAGGGCATCTGCACTAAATTTTAAGTATCTAAGTAGTCTTTTGATGGCGTTCCAGTGTGTTACCGTAGGTTTGCTTACATGTCTGGACAGCAGGTTGACGGCCAAGGCGATGTCGGGCCTGGTCCAGTTGGATATGTACAGCAGTGACCCTATCGTTGATCTATATAGTTTGTTGTCTGTGAAGGGTTCAGATTCCTCATACATGGTTTTCAGGAACTCGGGTTGCATGGGGGTCTCGCTGGGTTTTGCTTCGGACATGTTGCATTTGGACAGCAGCTCGATGATCTTTTCTCTCTGGGAGAGTCGGAAGCCCTTGTTGGTTTTTATCACTTGGACCCCTAGGTATCTGTCAATCTTTCCAAGTGACTTTAAGGAGAAGTGGCTACCTAGGTCGGTGGCGAACTTGTCACACCTGTCCTTGTGCTTGCTGATGTACAAGATGTCGTCCACGTAAACGAGCACACCTTCGAATGAGTCGTTTTCTCTCCTCGTAAAGAAGCATTTGTCAGCTGAGGTGGCCTCGAAGCCCATGGATCTGAGGGCCTTGGCCAAGCAGTCGTACCACCTTTTGCCCGACTGCTTGAGCCCGTACAGGCTTTTGTTCAGCAGCCAGGTTTGGTTCTTGTCTTTGTTGTACCCAGGCGGGGCTTTGACGTATATTTCCTTATCCAGCTCGGCGTGCAAGTATGCTGTTTGTACGTCGAATTGGAAGACCTCCAAGCCCAGGATGGTGGCCACCACCAGGGCGCTCTTGACGCTCTCTGCCCTGACGGTTGGCGAGTAGGTGTCCGTATAGTCTTCGGGGTATCTTTGGGCGAAACCCTGCGCGACTAGTCTTGCCTTGTATAGGACCTTGTTGTCCTCTAATGTTTTAACCCTGAACACCCATTTGGTTCCTATTGGTTTTTTGTCCTCTGGAACTTGGGCAGGTGAGTATACCTGAAGGTCCTTTAGGCTTTCCATCTCCTTCTCCATGGCAAGCATCCATTTTTCTTTCTCCTCCCGGGGGAGCTCGAGGATGTCTTCGTATGAGCTGGGCGTGAAATGGGTGTTGTGGATGGTCATAACGTAGTCCTCTAGCTTCTTTGGTAGCTTGTTTCTGGTTTCTCTGATTGGCCTACTGGGGGTTGGCTCGGTCTCCTGCATGATGTCTGCCTCTTTGTCCGTCAGGTCATCTATCTTCAGTGAAGGGTGCCCTTCTTTCCAACCTTTGACGCTTGTCTTGCGATGGTTGGCCTTGTGCCCTGTGACCTCTCTGACCTCCCTTTCCTCTTGGCCATGCTCGAACGTGACTCTATTGGCTGGGATGTCGTTGGAGTGTACCCTCGACCAGTTTGCGTTTTCGTGGAAACTGGCTGATCTGGAAACCACAAAACGGTTATTGTTGTCGACAAATCTGTAGCCCTTTGTGCCCGGTTCGTAACCCACGAACCTTAACCTTTTTGATAATTTTTCCCCTTTTCTTCTTAGCTGTCTGGGAATGTGGACATCAGCTGGGGCGCCGAATATGTGTAAATGTGCGATGTTGGGCTTTCTGTTGTATAGCATCTCGTATGGTGTCTTATTGATAGAGCTTGACCACAGTCTATTCAGGGTGTAATTAGCGTAGTGTATTGCCTCTGACCAGAAATGCTGCCCCATCCCAGCATCCTCCAGGGCGCATCTCATCATGGTTTGCAACACTCCGTTCTTTCTCTCTGAGACTCCATTTTGAAAGGGAGAGAAAGGTGAAGAGGTGTAATGCGCTATGCCCTGCTCCCTCAGCCACCTTGTGAATCCTTTGGCCATGAATTCTGACCCCCTATCAGTCATTATCTGCCTTATTTTCATGTTATGTTGCATATCTACTCTTCTGTGGAATTCCTTAAACCTTTGGAACACTTCGTTTTTGTGTCTGAGGGAGTAGACATACCCGTATCTGGTGTAGTCATCTACAATCGTGAGGAAGAATCGCTTCCTATGTCCTACAGAGGGTTTCATTGGCCCTACCAAGTCCATATGCACCAATTGGAAGGGGTATTCCGTGGTTCGTTTGGATCCCCTGGGGATGGCCTTAACCTTGATCTTGGAACGCTTACAAACTGAACACTCTAAGTAGTTTTCGCAGTTCTTTACTTTGAGACCTTCGGTACATTCCGTCATTTTCTTTACAATGGGGAAGCTTATGTGTCCCAGTCTCCTGTGTAGGAGGTGGGCGCAGTTATCATGTAATGGTTTGCCGATAGATACAGACTTGCTTGTCTTCTCATGGCTACACCCTGCCTCCTGCTGCACCCCCTCTGTTTCTGGATACTTATCTACCTCGTGGTTTGTGCTGGCATCAATGCCTTCTTCCTCCCTTGCGTTGGGTGTGAAGTAGGGAAGCCCCTCGTGTATGGTTACCTTTCCTATCTCTTTCCCTTGCTTGATCAAGTGTGCCTTTCCATCTTTAAATTTTATTTCTATATTTGTGTCTCGTGTCAGCTTTGTGATGGCTAGCACGTTGTGGGGGATTTCTGGTACGTACAGTACTCCTTTTAGGTCCCCTACCTGTGTGATGTGTACGTTTCCCTTTCCCACTACTTTGACCTTGCTTTGGTTTGCTACCTTTACTTCTGAGTCTATTTCTGTGAGTGAATCTAGCAGCTCTGGGTTACAAGTAGTGTGACTTGTGGCCCCTGAATCCAGGAGCCATGTGTTTCTCTCTGCCTTATGTTTGTCATTTGGGTCATCGTGCCTGATCCCATACATGGAGCCAGAGTTACTGTCCCTGGAGTGGTCTCTGCGCTCATGGTGTTTCCTGGGGTTGGGTGACCACCCTCGCCCTCTTTCCTTTGGGTGCCTGCGTTCGGGTGACCTTCCCCCTCTACTGTCGTGCTGTCCCCTATCCCTATGGTTCCTGGGGCAATCCTTCTTTAAGTGGTTCCTTGATCCACAAGAATAACATTCTGAGGTATCCCTGGCCCTATCCTGGAAATCCACCCTTTTTGTGGGTCTAGGGTCCCCTTTGGCTAGTTGGCGTTCCCTCCTCAGAGTGTCCTCTGCAACGAGCTGACTGGTCAGTGCGCTTAGTGTGAGGTATTGCAAGTTGAGGCTATTTAGTTGGGTCATGAAGATGTCCCAGCTGCTATCAAGAGAGTTTATGATTATGCTTATCATGCTCTCTTCAGTGATGATTTCCCCCCTCTGCATGAGTTCTGCCCTTGCAGCATTCATCTTTAAGATGTGCTCACTCATGGGGACCCCTGCCTTATGCTTGGTAGAGTGGAACTCCCTAGATAGTCTAGTGGTGGTGGCTCTGCTTTGACTATAAAACAGGTTACATAGTTTTTGCATAATATCATAAACAGTTAGATTGTCCTCAATAGATGGATACATAGCAGATGGAATGGAGGTTAACATGATACAAAATGCCCTGTGATGAATGCAGTCAATTTCCAATGACCAGGGCTTTTGGGGAGGTTTGTTAGCTAGGAACAGTGCATTCTCTCTCATGAGAGCAACCCTTAATTGTTGGCTCCATTCTATAATATTACCCCCATCTAACTGCAGTTTTGGCAAATTGGCATAATTTGCCCCAGAAATGTTAGTAAGGTTACTTACTGGGGGGAGCTGTCCATGGTCCAAGTTGTGATTAAACTCACAATAAGGCTTTGGGATGTCTGTGGCCATTCTGTACTTGCTTGGATCTATGCAATTTGCTTCTCTTATTACAGGCAGGTACTGGGCATGCGCGAAGCTCATTCCGCGCTGGAGTCCATCGGGTGAGGTTCCTGTTGCTGGAGCTCCCAGGCCTAGGCCTAGGCCTGTCGGTGGGAGGCTGGACCCGCCCCCGGTGGGTCCGAAGATCCCCCCTGAGGCTGGACACCACTGCTGGACGGCCGGATCCCCGGCGAAGAAGGGGAGAAGGTGAGGGGGCGACGCGGTCGTAAGTCGAGGACTTTCGCGGGTCGGCGGCGCGGCAGCAGCGGAGGTCGTAGGTCGAGGATTCCCTGCACCCAGCGGCTCGGCGGCGATGGCGGCGACGGCGGCTGATCCTCCCTCGTGGTCGCTGGTCCCTGGTCGTGTGGACTGGCCTGATGGGTGTCGTGGCGTTGGTGAGTAGCCGGTTCTTCTTCTCTGCCTCGGGCCTCGCGTTGCCGGTGTAGCGGGTGGTGAGTTCGAATCCTGCGGTTGATTTTTCCTGCAGGTGGGCGGTCTTTTGTGCCGGTTGTTGGTGTGCGCGGTGTTTTTAGTTGGCTGTGACTCGGTTGCCCGGTCTTTGTTGGTTGTCCTGGCCTTCTTGTGCCCTCCAGGATTTCTCTTTGATTTTTTGAGTGCCGCAGGGGGCTCGAAAGCGGAGCCTAGGGCAGCGGTGATGGTCTCGATTGCCTTTTGCAATTCGAGATCGGTAGGCGTTTTTCTTTTTGTTATTGCGATCTCTTCGTGGTCGCTCTCAGAGCTGGGTTCTTCGTAGTCGCTTTCTGAGCTCCCCTCGTCTGTTTCGGGGTTCGGGCATTTTCGCGCCAAGGGATTCAAATCCTGGCTTCCCATTGTCTGGTGCTCGTCCCAAGATGGCCGCCGGGAAGTGGGCACGGAAATGGATTCTGCCGGCTCAGGATCATCAGGTTGGGGTGGCTTACCCTTTTTTGCTGGCTTTTCTTTCTCGGTTGTTTTTGGGGCCTCGATCGCTGCTTCTTGTTGTTCGAAGAGGCTTTGAAGGTCCGCGATGAGGTTTTCTTTGTCGCTGTTTCCCTCCATCAGTTTCAGGATGGAGAGTTTGAATTTTTTCATTTTTTGTGTTGTTTCTTCTTCCGGGGCGGTGATCTCCTTGGATGGCCCCTCTTCATCTGATTGTGAGTCCAGGCTGGAGTCCTGCTCGCTTCCAGCTTCTGTCTCCTCCATGGCTGTGGCTTTGGTGGGAAGCTTCTCAGCCATCTTCTTGGTAAGAGCTCTGGTCTGTGCTCTGTTTGCTTCTTCTGGGTAGGTGTTGGGTTCAGTCATTGTCTGGAGTTATGGGCAACCGACCTCTGCTACCAATTTGTTAGAAACTGGATCTAGCCCAATAACTCAAAGACATAGCCCAATTCTTTTCAGTAGTTTTATTGTTGATCAGTTGGTACTGGAGGTCACTGACCTTGTACCTTTCTCTTTCAGGTATACATCTGGAATGGCCTGTGGACCATGCGGTTGGACCTTTTGTACCCAGGAGGAGGGGTCAAGAGGTAAGGAGTGGTTATAAGGATTATGGGATATGTGGTTAGTTAACCCTTGAGGGTCCGGGGGATCAGGGAGACATGGCAGTTAGGCATTTTATCATGACAGATTCAATCCATTATTCAGAATAAAGCTGGAAGGGACCTTGGAGGTCTTCTAGTCCAGCCCCCTGCTCAAGCAGGAAATCCTATACTATTTCAGGCAAGTGGCTGTCCAGTCTTTAAAACCTCCAGGGATGGAGCGCCCACGATTTCTGGTGGCAAGCTGTTCCACTGGTTAATTATTCTCCTTGTCAAGATTGTTCATTAACTGTTAGTTAATTGTTTTCGCTGCTCGGATTTTCTTAACAGCTGTGGCAAGTAAGGTCATAAAATGGGATAAAATATTCACTTAATATCTGTCTTGCTTAGCAATAGAAATTTGGGGATCAATTGAGGCCATAATTCAAGGAGTACACAGGACTACTTATGAGTGGTGCGGTGGCCAAGAGGTGGAGCTCTCGCCTCACAATCAGGAAGGAGGCTGTGAGTTCAATCCTAGGTAGAGGCAGATATTTCTCTCTCTGGGTACACTGAGGAGCCTGGTGGCGCAGCAGACTAAACTGCTGTTAAAAGTAGCACTTAGCTGCCAGCTGCCTGCAATTACTGCGAGTTCAATTCTCACCAGGCTCAAGGTTGACTCAGCCTTCCATCCTTTCAAGGCAGGTAAAATGAGGACCCGGTTTGTGGGGAGGCAATAAGCTGACTTTGTATAAAATAGAACACCTCTTGGGGGGGCCAAAAGCCCTACTAAGCAGGTATATACAAAAGTATGAAGGCTATTGCTTAATGCACTGTAAGCCGCCCTGAGTCTCCGGAGAAGGGTGGCATATAAATCAAACTAATAAATAAATAAATAAATCTGCTGGGGGGGGGAACTCTGCATTGGAGACAGGAAGGGCATCCAGCCAGTAAACACTGCGAGCCTGGTGGCGCAGCAGACTAAAGCACTGTTATTAACACCAGCTGCCTGCAATTACTGCAAGTTCGAATCTCGCCAGGCTCAAGGTTGACTCAGCCTTCCATCCTTTCTAAGGTAGGTAAATTGAGGACCCAGTTTGTGGGGGCAATAAGCTGACTTTGTATAAATATACAAAAGTATGAAGACTATTGCTTAGCACATTGTAAGCCGCCCTGAGTCTCCGGAGAAGGGCGGCATATAAATCAAATTTAAAACAAAAAAAACCACAAAACACTCAGCTCCATTCAGTTGCCCAGACTCCACCCCGCAAGGGATTATGGGAACGTTAAAAGATGATGATGAGTGATTCCCTTCACTGAGTGATGCATAGCCTAGAGGTGGAGCTCTCGCCTCACACTCGGGAGGCTGTGAGTTCGATCCTAGGTAGAGGCAGATATTTCTCTCTCTGGGCACACTGAGAATATTTCTGCTGAATAAAACTCCGCATTGGCGACAGGAAGGGCATCCGGCCATTAAAACGCTCTGCTAGCTCCATTCAGTTGCCCAGACTCCACCCCGCAAGGGATTATTGAGTCGTTAAATGATGATGATATACAGGACTACCTATACAGAAGCATCTGGGGTCCATGCATCGCCAAGCCCTACGCAGACCTGAATTCACACACCTCGCTAAGCCGACACCAATCAGAGAGAACAGTTTCATGCGCTGTGCAAACCAGGTCCAGCCATACGCCGCCCCCCCCCCATTCCCAGGTCCCTCTACATGGGACATACCTGTTGCCCCTACTTGCTCCTCCACGCTCTGCTGACTGCCGTGGAACTCCAGGAAGAGGGTGGGCAGTTCTGCATAGCTCAGGCCACTGTAGCGGTTACAGGCCCCCATCATCACCTCATCCAGGAACTCTGCAGGGGGAAGGAGGCTCCGGAATAGGAGAGGGCCCAGCCAATCTGGCTTCCCAAGTTTTTGACCGGCAGCCAGTTTTTGAATTGCACACTACAGGTAGTCCTCTATTTATGACCGTAATGGAGCCTGCCCAGTTCCAGAAGCCCCCCCCCATAATTTGAACAATGAAATGCAAGCTCCTCAGACACAACTCCCTCTTCCTCCAGAACTGCCACCACAGTCCCATCTGATTGCAAATTCTCTTTCCTCAAACAACACGAATGGAAACCTTGTGCCTCCTCTCTGCCCAGTTCTGTGGTGGCGCAGTGGTTACACTGCAGTATTGCAGGCTGATTCTGCCCACTGCCAGGAGCTCGATCCTGACTGGCTCAAGATTGACTCAGCCTTCCATCCTTCCGAGGTCAGTAAACTGAGGACCCAGATTGTTGGGAGCAATTGGCTGACTCAGTAAACCGCTTAGAGAGGGCTGGAAAGCACTGTGAAGTGGTATATAAGATTAAGTGCTATTGCCCTTCCATCCATCCATCCATGATGCACAGTGGTTAGAATGCAGCATTGCAGGCTGATTCTGCCCACTGTCAGGAGTTCGATCCTGACTGCTCAAGGTTGACTCAGCCTTCCATCCTTCTGAGGTGGGTAAAATGAGGACCGAGATTGTTGGGAGCAAGAGGCTAACTCTGTAAACCATTTAGAAAGGACTGTAAAGCACTGTGAAGCAGTATATAAGTCTAACTGCTATTCCTTCCTTCCTTCCTTCCTTCCTTCCTTCCTTCCTTCCTTCCTTCCTTCCTTCCTTCCTTCTTTCCTTCCTTCCTGTTAGAATGCAGTATTGCAGGCTAACTCTGCCCACTACCAAGAGTTCGATTCTCTCTGGCTCAAGAGGTTTACTCGGCCTTCCATCTTTCCGAGGTGGGTAAAATGAGGACCCAGATTGTTGGGGGCAAATAGGCTGACTCTGTAAACTGCTTAGAGAGGGCTGCAAAGCATGATGAAGCGGTATATAAGTCTAAGTGATGCTGTTGCTGTTACTCTGCCTCCCCCCTCCCAGTTCCCCTTCCCCCACGAACGTCTGGGGTCCTACTCACCAATGCGGGCAATGGGGAGCCCGGCTTGGAGAACCTGCACGGTGCTGTCCACAGCTGCTCGGATGTTGGGGAAGGCACAGATGGCTGCCACGGTGGCCTCAGGAATACCATGCAGTCTCAGCGTGGCCTGGGTGATGAACCCCAAGGTCCCCTCCGAGCCCACAAACAGCCCCGTTAGGTGGTATCCAGCAGCGCTTTTCCTGCAGAGGAAGGAAGAACCTGGTGAGGTCTGAGAACCCAACCTATTTATTTTATTTATTTATTTATTTATTGGTTCGATTTATATGCCGCCCTTCTCCGGAGACTCGGGGCGGCTTACAATGCGTTAAGCAATAGCCTTCATACTTTTGTATATACCTGCTTAGTAGGGCTTTCGGGGTCCCCTAAGTGGTGTTCTTTTTTATACAAAGTCAGCTTATTGCCCCCACAATCTGGGTCCTCATTTTATCTACCTTGAAAGGATGGAAGGCTGAGTCAGCCTTGAGCCTGGTGAGATTTAAACTTGCAGTAATTGCAGGCAGCTGGCAACTAAGTGCTACTTTAACAGCACTTAGTCCACTGCGCCACCAGGCTCTTACAACCTAGGTATAAGGCCTGGCCTCCCCCCCTTTATTCAAGAAAATAAAAACTCTCGAAACTTTAGCATTTCAAAAGGAACCTTTTATTAAATAGAGGGGATAGCAGGGCAAAAAGAAAGCAGGCTCTGAGGTCCCCTCAGGCCACACAGTTAGAATAAAGCAGTGTTTCTCAACCTTGGAAGCTTGAAGATGGGTGGACTTCAACTCCCAGAATCCCCCAGCAGGAGGGGTGGGGTCACCCGCCAACGTGGTCCATTGGAGAATGTGATTTATGACATGCCCAGGAAGGAGGGCGGAGACACGGTCATGGGGGCCTGTAACTTACGTGGGGTCAGAGCTGACACCACTTGAGTAATTGCCGGAATGTTGCTCTTAATAAATGATTGGATTTCTTTTGAAACTTGGCTCAAGGCTCAAGAATTAATTAGGGCATCTTTCGGAAACTTCATAGCAGGCCTAGAACTCAACATCTTCTGGTGACTGGACTTTGGGCCAAGACTAGAACTCAAGACTCTCCTGGTTTCTAGACTGTCGCCTTAAATCCTAATCCAAACTGGTTTAAACATTCCTGAGCAAACCTCAGAGCGCTTGCTGCCAGTGGGGAAGTCATGCATCTCTGAAGGGCACCACAGAAGAGGCATCTTTGGAAGGTGAAAGCTCACCCCGAGACCTCTGCCAAGAGAGTTCCCTGGCTGCCACCCACCCAGATGTGACCCAAGGGGGAAGGGAGAGGGAGGCGAGGGAATACCTGGGCCGCCGGCTCTGCCCGGCTGTGTGCAGGATTCTCCCATCTGGCAGGACCACTTGTAAGTTGAGGACATTCTGCCGCATGGTGCCATAACGCACCGCGTTCGTCCCGGAGGCTGCAGTGGCCACCATGCCACAAAGCGAGGCGTCGGCCCCGGGGTCTGAGAAGGAAGGGAAAAGCAAAGGGAGAGGAGAACCTGAGACCCTCGCCCACCTCCCAACAACTGCATGAGCCTTACGCCAATTCTTAGGCCAAGATCAAGGGAGCTACTAATACCACTCTATAAAGCCTTAGTAAGACCCCACCTAGAGTATTGCATCCAGTTTTGGTCGCCACACTATAAAAAAGAGGTTGAGACTCTAGAAAGAGTGCAGAGAAGAGCAATGATTCGGGGACTGGAGGCTAAAACATACGATGAACGGTTGCAGGAACTGGGCATGGCTAGTCTAGTGAAGGGAAGGACCAGGGGAGACACGAGAGCAGTCTTCCAATATTTGAGGGGCTGCCACAGAGAGGAGGGGGTCTCAAGCTGTTTTCCAAAGTACCCGAAGGCCAGACAAGGAATAATGGATGGAAACTGATCAAGGAGAGATTCAATCTGGAAATAAGGAGGAATTTTCTGACAATGAGAACAATCAACCCGTGGAACAGAAGTTGCCTTCGGAAGTTGTGGGAGCTTCATCATTGGAGGCTTTCAAGAAGAGACTGGACTCCCATCTGTCAGATATGGGTTAGGGTCTCCTGCTTGGACTAGATGACCTACAAGGTCCCTTCCAACTCTGTGAATCTAAAATCTAGACCAGTGGTGGCGAATCTTTTACTCACCAAGTGCCGAACAAGTACGCGCTTCAAGCGCTTTGGACGTGTGTGTACTACATGCCAACGTGTGGCTCCTCTCCCATGCACTGTGCGTGCAACTGCACATCTGCGCATGCGCATAGCTTTAGAGTGGCTCCCCTGTGCACTGCGCATGGAAGCGCACCATCTGCACATGTGCATGGTTTTGCATGGGCAATGCACATGTGTGAACACCATCTATGCATGCGCGCGCTGTGCACAAGTATTCTCGGACGCATGCACCTGCGCAGGAGAGCTTGGAAGACCAGCTGGGTCCCCTGAATTGCACGCATGCGCACCAGAGGCCCCAACACCACCTGGTGCACGCGCACATGTCCAGCTGCAGGTGACAGCTCGTGTGCCCAGAAAGATGGCTCTGTGTGCCACCTTCGACACGCTGTTGTGGCCCGCCAGCGGCCTGCACGGCCTGTGGCTGATCCTGACGACGAGGAGGCTGGTGTGGGGTCGTGCCAGCAGCCGGCACAGCCGGCGCTCGCGTCGGACAGCGAGGAGGCTGAAGAGGCTGTGGTGCCAGAGGCAGAGACTCAGCCAGGGCCTTCAGAACCTCCAGAGGCTCCTTCAAGTGCAGAGAGTGAAGTGGAGGAGCCTCTCCTCAATGCTCGAGCACGCAGGGCTGCCAAAAGGCAGGAGTGGCTACTCAGGAGGAGGAGGTCTCCTCGAGAGTAAGGCTTGGGGCTAATTGGCCACTCATTGGTGCCTATTTAAGTCGCACGCAGTTAGCAATTGTTGCTGGAAACAACGTTTAATTATTACGCAGAGCATTTTGGAGAGTGAGTTTCTTATCACATCTTGGTTTCTCGGCTGGTTGCCAACCTTTGTCAGACTTTGTTTATTCTTTGTAACTTTATAGCAGGCTGATAAGGACATTTGCACTGAAAGCCTGCATTTTGAAAGGGGTCTGTTTGTAATAAACGGAGTTTTTGGAGCTTGGTGTGTGTCACACTCCGTGGGATCCGGAGCTGGGGCAGAACACACACATGACATAGATTCCCCATCATGGATCTAGACCCTTCCCCCAGGGGCCCTGCCTGAGCCTCAGCTGGAGCACCTGGACAGGTATACCAACACAGCCCCTCCCAACTTTGCTAGGGGAAGCCCCCCCCAACCTTGGCCCACTGACACCCCACCCCCACCCACCTCCGTCTCCAAGCTGCCGTACCGACAGGGAACCAGAGACCGTTCCCTCGCAAGTATTTGTTCAGTGCCTTCCGCGTCACTCCTGCCTCTACAGCAACCGTGAAATCTTCAGGGTTAAGCTCCGAAATTTGGTCCATTTTCGTCAGGTTGACACAGACACCTCCCTGGTGGGAAAAACACAGGCAGGATTCACACAACTCCATGACTCAGATTATAAAGATGCAGTTGATATTAGCAACAGCAATAACACTTAAGACTTATATTCCCACCCCCTAGCACTTTACAGCACTATATATGCAAATAAGATAAGCATTATTTGCATATTCCCCCCCCGCCCCCCCAAATCTGGCTCCTCATTTTACCGACCTTGGAAGGATGGGGGGCTGAGTCAACCATGCCGCCGGTCAGGATCGAACTCCTGGCAGTCAGCAGAGATTAGCCTGGATTCCTCCATTCTAGTCATCGCACCACCAGGGTTCATATCTCTTACTTCAGATAAAGTTTCTTAAAATCAAATCTCCTGCCTGAGCTGGGGGTTGGACTAGAAGACCTCTAAGGTCCCTTCCATAGACTCTGTCATTCCGTTAACGCTTCTACAAATTCCTACTCTAGGCTGCAGCCATGGAATCTCCTGGTGGTGTCCACTCCTAACTACTCATAGCTCTGTCTATCTTACTGACATGCTACAACAACAATCACGTCTCATGTAAATGTAAGTTAGGAATGTCACTGCGTTTTTGTATTTACCAGATGAGTTATTATTTTTGGACTTTCAGACTTATCGTAGCTTGCCAAGTTCTTATCAGTAACTGATACTGCGCATGTCTACATTCTTTCACTTTCTTCTTACTTTCTTTGTTCTCCTGCCAGGAGGTCCGACCAGGAGAGGTGGCCGGCAGGAACGTTGCCAAAATGTAATTAATTAGACTAGTGGGATGTTTTATTTTCTTTATAACAAATAAATAAGTTTTTCTTAGAAAATATATCTTCGGGTTTATTTTCTTAATGTATACTTCAAGGAAAGGTCTCGATCCACTTCTCTAAATCAAGGTGCAATTACCCAAAAGCAGAATGGGATTAATTAGCACCCTGACAAGGAAAACCCACCTAGAATTCCAAACTGGGGGGGGGGGGCTGTAGTCTCCCATAGCCCTTCTTAGCCCCCACCTGCTGAAACAGTCTGTTCTTTTCCTAATTAAGACGGCTCACCCAGCTAAAAGCAGAACCTGGCAGGGCCATTAAGCAGAAGACTTAGGTGCAAAAGGGAACCTGGCTATCAGGCTGATGGAGAGCGACCCCCTCCTCTTATTTGTCTCCCCCTTTCTAATAACAGGACTTGAATCTGGATCTCTCTCCTCGTGGTTCAGCCTTTCAATGCCCGGGGAAACTCTGGATTCTGGACTAGGATCCCATGCCATTCGAGGATGGTTCACCCAACACACCAAATCCTAATGTGGTCTGGGGTGGGTTGGAGTGCCTGGGAACCCAGGCATTTGCAGCTGACAAACCAGGTTTTAAGGCTTGGGGGATGCTGCGTGTAGCTTATCCAAGAATAAAAGAAGCCACAGCTTAAGTGCCAACTGTTCAAGCCATCCATACAGTGCTTTAGTCTACAGTTCACAAAGAGGAGGGGGGTCAATTTATTCTCCAAAGCACCAGAAGGCAGGACAAGAAACAACGGATGGAAACTAATCAAGGAAAGAAGCAACCTGGAATTAAGGCGAAACTTCCTAACAGTGAGGACAATCAGCCAGTGGAACAGCTTGCCACCAGAAGTTGTGGGTGCTCCATGACTGGTGGTTTTTAAGAAGAGACTGGGCAGCCACTTATCTGAAATGGTCTAAGTTCTCCTGCCTGAGCAGGGGGCTGGACTAGAAGACCTCCAAGGTCCGTTCTCTCTATTCTGAATTACCGTATTTTTCGGAGTATAAGACGCACTTTAGTTTTTGGGGAGGAAAATAAGAAAAAAGCTGATTGGCGGGTGGATCGGCCTCCCGGAATACCCCCAATCAGCTGTTCCTAGAGGTGAATTTTAGCAACAGGTTCCTTGGTTGTGAGCTCTGTGCCTTGCTTTTTTTTCTGCCTCTGAAACTTCTGAAACTCTGTTTCAGAAAAAAAAACTTTTTTTTCTGCCTTTGAAACAGCTTCAGAAAAAAAGCCTCTGAAGCTCTGTTTGAGGGCTTCTTTTCTGAAGTTTCGTTTCTGATGCTTTTTTTCAGCCTCTGAAACCGCCAGGGCTACATTCAGAGCAGGGGTGAAATGCTCCCGGTTCGGACCGGATCACCCGATCCAGTAGCGATGGCGGCGGGTGGTTCGGAGAACCAGTAGCAAAAATCCCTGTGCCCCCACCTCCATGCCCAGCTGAGCTGCACGATCATCAGAGGCTTTTTTTTTTTTTTACTTTTAAAAGTATTTTTTCTACAACCTCTTCAGCCCCAAAAATGCTTTTAAAAATAAAAAAAGCGCCTCTGATTATCGCCCAGCTCAGCTGGGATTTTCAGAGGCTTTTCAAAACATTTTTTTCTGCAACCTCTTGGCTGAAGAGGTGGTAAAAAAAATGCTTTGAAAAGTCTCTGACGATCCCAGCTGAGTTGCCTGATCAGCAGAGGCTTTTCAAAGCATTAGAAAAAATGCTTTGAAAAGTTTAAAAAAAAAAAAAAGTTGGCCACGCCCACTCAGTCACATTAACCCCCACCAAGCCACACCCACAGAACCGGTAGTAACAAATTTTACATTTCACCCCTGATTCAGAGTATAAGACGCACCCAGATTTTCACCCTCTTTTTTGGGGAAAAAAGGTGCGTCTTATACTCTGAAAAATACGGTAAAATTGATCCATACCTACAGCTGTCCCAGCTGGCCAACCGAAGCTCAGAAGGTCCCACCAACCAGCATTGAAGAAACCACATTGACTTAAATGTAGACCAAGCAGAGATCCAGGCCCCGAGGTCCAGCTGAATTAGAGCGACCCCCAATTAAGACTCCGGCCAGATCCCATGCAGGATTAAGCCCCCAGAGCCTCTGCAGGGATCAGGCCAGCCTCTGCTCTACCTGGCCGCAGTTCCTCCAGTTCTTACCTGCACGGCAGTGACCCCCCCTTCCAGTCCTGTGCCCGTCCCGAAGGGGATGACGGGAACCCCTCGGCTGTAGCACGTCGCTGCCAGCAAGCTGACTTGCTCCACGCTCTGGGGCCAGACCACGGCATCCGGGGGGCAGTTCCTAGGAGGGAGGAACATAGCAAGCCTCTATACAGGTAGTCCTCGACTTATGACCACAAGTGAGCCCAAAATTTCCGTTGTCAAGTGAGACATTTGTTAAGTGAGTTTTGCCCCATTTTACGACTTTTCTTGCCACCGTTGTTAAGTGAATCACTTTCAGTTGTTAAGTTAGTAACATGGTCGTTAAGTGAATCTGGCTTTCCCCACTGACTTTGCTCATCAGAAGGTTGCAAAAGGGGATCACGTGACCCCGTGCGACTGTCATAACTGTGAGTCATTTGCCAAGCATCTGAATTTTGATCACGTAATAATGGAAATGCTACAACTGTTGTAAGTGTGAAAAGCCATCCTAAGTCACTTTTTTCAGTGCTGTTGTAACTTCGGTCACTAAACGAACTGTTGTAAGTCGAGGACTTCTTGTACAGAGGAGGCTGGGAGCACCTTAGCTGAATAGCAACTTTTAATAAATAATAACGAGTAACTTTTTTACAGGGACGTGGTGGCTCAGTGGTTAAGACACTGAGCTTGTCGATCGAAAGGTCGACAGTTCGGCGGTTCAAATCCCTAGTGCCACGTAATGGAGTGAGCTCCCGTGACTTGTCCCGGCTTCTGCCAACCTAGCAGTTCGAAAGCAGGTAAAAAATGCAAGTAGGAAAATAGGGACCCCCTTTGGTGGGAAGGGAACAGCGTTCCGTGCACCTTTGGCATTGAGTCATGCCGGCCACATGACCACGGAGACGTCTTCGGACAGTGCTGGCTCTTCGGCTTTGAAACGGAGATGAGCACCGCCCCCTAGAGTCAGGAATGACTAGCACATATGTGTGAGGGGAACCTTTACCTTTTAAAAAGGCTTTTGCAAAACAGCCAGCCCAGCTCTGCCCCCACCACAGCAGATGGAACCATTTGGGGGCCAGAGCAACAATTCTTCCAGGGACCCCAAAAGAAAAGGGCTCATCCAACATACAATTCGGGCTTTGAAAAGATCGAGAGATACAGGGAGAGCTCGCTTACTGAATGCCTTGTTTAGTGACTGTTCCAAGCATAGTTCTGTGAGCAATCCTCACATTTCTGACCACCTGTAGCATCCTCCTCCGTGGTAATGCAATCGCCATTTGCGTGTTTCACAACTGGCTTCCGACAAACAGAATCACGGGAAAAGCCGGCCGCAAAATTGTAAGTTGTGGCCATGTGATGGCTCACTTAACAACCAGTGACTTGATTAATGACTGAAGTGGAAATGAGGTCATACATGTTATTGAGTCATATGCTAAGTGACCGCGGCACTTAGCAAGGTCGCAATTGTGGTCGCTAAGCGAGGATTACCTATATATCCATTTTTTTAATTCCCAGCCGTACCAGAGGAAATATAGCCCCAAATTATTTCAAAAGTCTGAGATTTCCCATTTCCTCAACATCCACAGAGGACCAAACAGGAGACACCAGATTTATGACTAGGATCTATGACAGGGGGGGTCAAACTCGATTTCATGGAGGGCTGCATCAGGGTTGTGTTTGACCTCCGGGTGGGTGGGCATGCCAGGGAAAAGAGCTTGGGGGGCCACGCGCACGTCCCCTCGGGCCCCGTTTTCAGCCATCGCGTGCGCCGCATTTTCTGGCCTCCCAATGTAGAAAAGACATACCTGTGCATAGATTCGTCCTGCCCATGTTGCTCGCGGACAACAGTGGCCGTGGACACATTGGGGCCCCCCACAATCGCTCTGAGGGAATTGAGGAAATCCTCTGTCAGCCACTCCTGGGGAAGGAAAGGAGGCCATGTGGAGATCATGACAGAAAGATGGAAGCCCGAATTTGTTTGTGGCTGTCTCAACTGAAGCGGTGGCAACTCTACATTGTATTTTTTTTTTTTTTAGTTTAATTTATATGCTGCCCTTCTCCGGAGACTCAGGGGCAGCTTATAATGTGTTAAGCAATAGCCTTCATACTTTTGTATATTTATACAAAGTCAGCTTATTGCCCCCACAAACTGGGTCCTCAATTTACCTACCTTAGAAAGGATGGAAGGCTGAGTCAACCTTGAGCCTGGTGAGATTTGAACTTGCAGTAATTGCAGGCAGCTGATGTTAATAACAGTGCTTTAGACTGCTGCACCACCAGGGCTCCTATTTATTCCCCATGGGTACCTCTCCTTCCCAGCGTGGGTTCAGCAGACCCACGGAGTCTTCATCCTTTCCTTTTTTACGGTTTTGTACCAATTTCCCCGAGGCACTAAAAGAGACCCCAACCAATGGGAATTTAAAATTCCTAACAGTGAGGACAATTAACCAGCTGGCCTTCAAAATTGTGGGCACTTCATCTCTGGAGGTTTTTTTAAGAAACGACTGGACAGTCACTTATCTGAAATAGTATAAATTCTCCTGCTTAAGCAGGGGGCTGGACTAGAAGACCTCCGAGGTCCCTTCCAGCTAATTCTAATTCTAATTCTGTTCCATTCTAATTAGATTCTACTCTTATTCCTATTATTATTCCTATTCCTACTCTATTCTATTCTTCTAAAGCGAAAGCCTCTGTCCAGTGGAGCTCAACTCCTGGTGGCTTTGTGGACCTCCCCTTACAATGTTCTTGGGAACAGGATGACTTTTCCATTTCCAAGAACTCTCTAGAGGATTCCCATTCTAATATTAACCAGGCCTGGCCCTGCTTAGCTTTAGAGTCAGACCACAGAAATAGCTTCAGTCCCAAATAAAACCCAGCTGCAATGCTTCTGATGGGGATCTCTAAGTGTGTGTGGGGGGGGGGGGGGGGGGGGGGGGAGACTGGAGATCTAGTAGATCTCTACTTCTGATCAGCAACAGACACCCAGTTTGCCGGGCTCAGACTGTTACATGCTGGATCTCTTGTAGACCTAATCTTGTCTGCACTGCAGCTGTAGACTAGATTTGTGCAAAGATCTATTGTGACACCAAAATCTGGCTGGACAAGGAGAGAGGTGGCTTGTCCCCAATAGATCCTGCCCCCACCACCACCTGAATCAATTGAGAATGTCTACTGAAGATCCCCACATACCAAAGCAGGATTTCCCTTCCCAGGAAGAAAGCCGGTCTGGAGGAACAGAGTGTGCCCCTGTGCATGTACAGAGGGCTGTCCCCTTTATCTTGTTAACAACTTTGAGAAAGTAAAAGTGGGTGTTCTCTCTATGTGGGGGCTCCCCTCCTCCTCCTCTGGACACCCCCCCACTCTTTTGGGAGCTATTCAAAATCTGGCTCTTCTGGAAGGTTTTTAAACACCAGGGTTATTAAAAATGCAATTGTTAATATAGGTAGTCCTGGACTTATAACCACTCATTTATTGATCCTTCAAAGCACTTGTTAGGAAATGGCTATTGTCTAACTAGTTGGTCAGGCAATATAGAAACTATCAATACATGTTTGTCAAAAGGTATTATATTGCTTTAAGACTGTATTGCATCATCCTGCATCCTGATTGGCTAAGCTCTGTAGCCAATGTACTTAAGGGGAAGCCTGAATCATGGCTTGTGTGGATACTACACCATTTTACCTGCTTATTTGCTGTTATTCTCCACTTGTTCTCTCTGCATGATCACTGTTTGATCATTGCTACTTGTAGCTTTCTACTATTTATTGAATGCTTTAACACTGAACTTGTTCCTGTTTGAAACTGAAGAACTGTTTTATTGTGTAATGACAACAACTGGTAAGAAGACTTTGTACTTGGAATATCCCTGAATTGATATTTTAACTATCGCCTTATCTGTGTATGACTTGGATTGTTATTGGACTTTGCTTTACTTTTTTCTAAAAGTAAAAGACTACCACAACTCAGTGTGTCAGTATATTAACTGTGGTTATTCACTCTCAGCCGCTTTCATCTGCATACTCAAGGGATACTCTGCTCAATAACCCATAACATCGGTTATGAGCCAAGAATATCCTTAACAGCACTGAAAACAATGGTTTATGACTCACTTACAGCCATCCCCACAGTCACGAGATCAAAATTCGGGTGCTTGGCAACTGGCATGAATTTAGGATGGTTGCAGCATCCCAGATCTGACAAGCAAAGTCAATGGGGGAAGGTGGATCCGCTTAATGACTATATGATTCACTTAACAACAGGAGTTGTTCCAGTG